AGGATAGTCGGTAAATACCGCAAAGGTTACTTCATAGACTAGTCCCTAGACTAATTTATAGACCAGACCATAGAAAATTCATTAGACTACGCCAAAGTATAGTAAAATGTACTATAAAAGTCTATTCAAAATAGCACTTAAAAGACCCTTAAAATTATTTCAAATCGGATAAAATAAGTCCTAAATAAATAATAAATAATTGTGGAAAATTAATACTCTGGCTGTAATTTCTTTCAGGTTTCTAAACAATATGAGAGAATATAAACAAGAATTACATATATTTTTCCTCAGAATTTATCGAAGGACTTCCTACCTTTGAACTTTATGTCAGAAGTACAATTTTAGATTATTATTTCAGTAAGAAAATGAATTTAAAATTGTACAAAATGGGTCATTTGTGTACCATTGTACTTTCGAAGATTGAATTGTACCAAAAAAGTACAATTGTGCCAATTTTGCCAACCCTGGTTGATATAGATTCCCAGCAAAAAATAATTGATGTCATACTTTACAAACGACATCTTAATCACATCTAAAAATGCGATTGCATATTTTTCGCTTCTATAAACCAAATATTTCCTTACAAATAAAAACCGAGTTAAAAGTGAGGAAAGAGATGTTGAAAAGTCATTAAGGATCATTCTCACTATAAAGGCTCAATTTTATGTTTCACAGTGCTAAGTAAAAAAATTTACAATAACAAAATACATTACACACAGAAAACAGATCGATTGTTAATCGGTTAACATGATAAATATTTAGTTAAATTAATTAAAATTGTATAGATGTTATTGAAAAACTGTATAATTAACTGATTTTCTATATTTAGAATTAAAAAACCATAATATTAATCGAATTGTGATTGTAACAATTTCCAAATCAATAATTTGAACTGAATTCTATTGGTTATTAAATTCATTTGTGAATTCAGTAAATGCAGCCGACTTTTATTTAGGAATAAAATGTAAGAACATCAAATATTAGTCTCTGTAACCGAAAAACAGTAGAAAGTAAAAATATTGACCACTGCAACCAATTATCAACTGATAAAATTATTTAAAATTTAATTACGGTTAAGGGAACCAAATTCGATGTTCACAACCGATCAATTGGTAATTATATTTGACGTATACAAAAATAAATAAAATAAAATGATTTTATAATTGAATAATAAAACTATTAACAATTAAATGTAAATTAATACGGAAAATGGGATAGAAAAGGTAAGTTTAGTCTATTTTATATCTTAACATCTATTTTGTTTTATTTTCCTATAATCTTTAATAATTTTACAGCAGCGGAAAAACGTGGTATGGTTGTGTTCCATTGGAAATGTTGGACAGAATTAAGAGCAAAATCCCTGATACATAAATAAAGTTTTTACCATCAATATCTCAAAACTAGAGAAGAAAAGTGACTATTTTATAATAATAAGTTTTGTAGGTTTGTAAATGTACATTTATATTTTATTGTAATTATTTTAAACAAAATAAAATATATTTTCAAATAAACATAATCCACAAATTGGTTTTAATAAATAATATTTCAGTTCCAAATACCGATAATTTCGATCCAGTTTATCGAATAATAATTTAAAATAGTTGCGTACACCATATATTCAGTAACAGGAACCGAATTTTACAGTAGTTGCAATCGAATTATGGGATAGTTGTGAGAACCGACTGAATTCGATTAGAAACAAATTCGGTTATCACAACGAATCTGTTTTCTCTGTGTACTTTTTAATTTTTATCATATTTTTGTTGAAATTTAATTTGGTGTGCTGATCCAGAAAATTCCCCATGATTGAATACTTGTGTTCCAAATATTAAATTCTTTAATTTTACGAAAGTTACGAATATTGATTGTCTCTGCCTCTAGACCCCAACTTTAAGTTATAAAAGTGCATTCTACAAATATTTGGGATAGGACTACGTTAACTGGTGGCGAACCGAATCCGAAGTGGAAAATGTATTTTGCAAAAATTTTACCATAATAAATATATCAATTATCGTTCCAATATGATATAAAACACAAAAATCGGTCTAAGATTATTACAAATTCCTCAAATCACAAATATTTAAAAAAAATTAACACATTTTGAAAAATATTCTAATAAAATATGGCATTACGTTAAATATATTCCTATTAACATAAAAGTGAGTTTTTATCTTTATTAGATAGTGTAAACCATATTTATGACTATATCCCAAAACTCCAGTTTCAAACTTTAAGCAATTTTATTAGCAAAATTTCAAAATTTTTAGAAAATCTCAAAATTAGTAAAGAATTAGGTCTATATCTCTAATTAGGTCTATATCTGCCACAGATTAGCAGTACATGCGATTAAAATTTTGAGGATTTCGGAGAAATTTTTTTGGTAATATTTTTGATTACAAGTCTTAATTCCTTACTGTAAAACGTTTTCAAAATAAAAATTTCAAGAAAATAGGAAATATACAAGTTTTGGTAAAATAGAATAATTTTAACCCATAAACTGTGAAGGTCAAATTCATGCTATGAAATATTGAGAAATTTTCTTGAAACCATAGTGATAATATTATCTTGTTTTCAATCGATTTAAATAAAACTTAGGGAAAATACTTAACGAATGACATCGAAAGAATCGAAATTAAATTTATGAAACATTTTATGAAAAACAGTCAATAATTAACCATATCTCTCATATAAGGCCCTCTTCAGTTAATTTGATGATTAATATCACTCTGATGTTTATAGGGGTGCATTCCTTTCAAGTCACACGGTTTGATGTGCCGAATCGCACAGCCGAATATAACCCTCTCACTTGTTTTATATTGAGTTTTGCAACTTAAATCGTGGAAGAAATCCGCACCAAATTAAAATGTATTAATTTTTTTCCAATTTACTTTCTTTTACATTTAGAGTTACCAAGCTATTCATACTTTCTATGAACAAAAATCATGTATTTAATATTTTCCTGTGAATGCCAACGAAGGAGAAGACAAAATAAACTATGAAATACAAAAACAAATAATAATAAAATGGCTACAAATCCGCAGCCGCACTATATTTAATTAGCTTTTTCTATTGGAACCAGTACCACGTTTCTGTATTTTTCTCGAATCGAGAAAAAAATTAAAATATAATAATCTTCCAGTCGTTATTTTTAAACTGTATTCATTAAAATTCAATAAGAAATGTTTGAAATCCTTGTGTTCATCCTGTTTTACACAAGATGATCATGAATTTTTTGACAGATTTTCTCGATGCGAGAATTACAGAAAACGGAACCGCATGCGCAGGTTTGTATTTCTACCCTAAGTTCCATATAAAGAAATTACTAAATGATAGTACCCTCACTACGGAAACTAAACTTGTGCCGAGTTATCTAAAAACTAGATAGTTAAATGGGTTTTAACAAAAAGTCGCTGATGAAGGGTATTTAAGATTCTGCATATCCGAATATAGCACTCTAACTTGTTTAAAAAAGCTTTTTTTGAAAGTATGCACTAACATTCTCCTTTTTGATAAAACTTTCAGAGGTTGTCTAGGATTTTTGCTCATATTTATCTCCGTTATATATGGACGGATTTTGCTGATTTTTAATAGAAACTTCTCGTAAGCATGTCTGACAGAATTATTGAAGATTTTTATCCCGAAGACATCTGGGGTTGTCTAGGATTTTTGCTCATATTTATCTCCGTTATATATGGACGGATTTTGCTGATTTTTAATAGAAACTTCTCGTAAGCATGTCTGACAGAATTATTGAAGATTTTTATCCCGAAGACATCTGGGGTCTTCAGAAAATTGATTTGAATAGACGTACAGACGGACATAGCTTAATAGACTCAGCTGTCTATAAGAATCCAGAATATATATACTTTATAGGGTCGGAAAATTATATTGTCGAAATTACAGACGGAATGACAAACTTATATATACCATTCTCACTAAGGTGAAGGGTATACATAATTACAGTATTGTTCGAAACCTAAGCAACTTTTTTTGGCATTGTACATAATGTGCTATATTTTCTATTTCAATTGATTTATTCAAAATTATATAATTGATTTGTACAATATTATGTGTCTACATTATAATAACAAAAAAAATTTAATTCCATTTCGCTGTGAGTTACAAGAAAATAATAACTGAATTAACTCCATAGTTAGATGTTCGAAACTTAAGCAACTTTTTGATCTTCTTATGAAAATCGTTGGTCCTTTTGAGTTTCAAACACCTTTATGGAATAGATTAGTTACTAGTATAGTTCGTAATGAATTCCAATAGGATTTTCAGCCATTCGCCAGCTGCACTGTTTTCTAAACGAGTTCCGACCCAGCGCTTCAGAACGCCGAACAGCATCTCTAAGGGATTTGAGTCAGGAGATGTTGATGAGCAATCAAAGTATTTGGGTCCTATTATACGATAAATACTCTTACATCAACTTTGCCAAAGGTTTTGGTTCATTATCATGCTGAAAATCGCAATAAAGTAAGTTGTTCTGTTCGGTATACTCAATCATATGATTCAAATTAAGATGTCTGCATATGGGATATGTAAATGTTTATCTTAATTAATATTTTATTGCTAATTCTTTAACAGTAAAAAATGTATAATAGTATAAAAGTGTGTAAGTAGATATGTTAGGAAGTTAGGAATTTAATATAAAAATTATATATTTTTATTAAGTACATTTTATTATTACGTAAATGTTGTAATAATATGTGCAAACAAGTCTAATATAAATACTTGTTTACATACATATGTACATAACTATTTATGTACGTTAAAGTGTACAAAACATTAGGGTGTTTTTTTTTTTTGGTTAACCTTTTTCAGATCGGATTAATAGTCTGAACCCAACTATCTTAAATATTCTGTAAAAAAGCTTTAGCCTAGTGCAGTATCATATGTGTAACTATTTTTCCCCATTTCAAGAACACATATTATTAAAAAAAAGTGTCGCACTAATGGATTTAAGACAAAAAAAAAAAAAAGAAAACGGAACTTACCGCAAACAAACACGTTCCTCTTCATCATTATTCATTGTTATATTAACAAGAAAAAGTGGTCTTTATTCCAACTAACTAAAAAGTTGGTCGCTTTAGTTACCGCAGGATTTTGATTAAAAGTAATGAGCAGTTAATAAGCTTAAAGAAAACTTATCATGGTTATTTGACGATATCTTTTCCTTTGTTCAGATTCTCTTTTCTATTACATAGGCATTCAAAATGGGAATTTGTTTAACTCCATCTGATTTGATTTCTGCAAAACAAAAGAAAGATAAAAAGACTATAGTTTTTAGTAAAAATTATTTTAAACATTTCTAGGAAAAACGGGAAATTTTAAATTAACATATTTTAGAAAATCTAGCGATTTTATTATTTAAAGAAAAATTACAAAATGCCATTAATTGTGCTAAATTAAATGAAAAAACCCTAAATTAAAAACTATCAATCTATAGGTCTGTTCGCGTACTCGTACAATTTGTAACAATAGTTACTGGATTCCGTTTGCGTACTTTTGAAAACTTACAACGAGAGAGTAAGAGAGGGATAAAAATGACAATTCGTTGATAGAGATTTTCTTGATTTTACTGCATATTTTTTTCCCAGTAAAAAATATCCAACATATGTTCACAAGATATGGTTGATATGTATATGATTATGTAAACAAATCAAAGAAAACAAAAATTTGGTAAATTTTACATTTATTGAAAGAAATATATAAATAAATAACACACGAATATTAAAAAATTATTTGCAATTAGATTTATTTAAATTTTATTTATCATAAATTAGTTTTTAAAATAGTTTGTTTGTTGTGAAAAATCATAACAAATATTGTCAATCTAGCGTTTTTCAAACATTTTAATTTGTCTTTCTCTTAGTGATTTGGTGTAAATTTTTATTTATTAATATGTTTGTAAAATGAAGTTTTAAAACAATTTACTCTCTATCATAAAGTTACTATATATTTTTTACTGGAAAGTACGCGAACACACATTATGTAAAAGAAATAGCAAGTACAAATAGAACCAAAAATTTAGAAATTCTCTTATACATACATATGTATGCATTCTTAACGTATGGAAATTGAAGTTCAAAAAAATGCTTGTTGTATAAATATTGTAATGTAAAATAGAAAATAAGATTTTTTCGATAAATTTTTAAGATTTTTTAAAATTTATTTATATTTTTAAAAGTCCGGGAATGCCAAAAATTTATTTTATCATTCCCGTTTCCCAGAAATTTGAAAAGTCCGGCAATTTCCAAACTCTAGTTATAGCCTTACGGCTATATTTATAAAAACTTATTTTAGTTTTATTAAACAATTTTATGCAAAATTCAGGAACATCGTATTCATAAACGTCAAATAACTTTAAACACCCTCAATAAGCCATTAACAAATATAAGAATTTTATTGCAGGGTCGACCCTTCTTTAAGCCAATAATAATCAATTTTAAAAGTTTTTTTCTCAGATAAAGCTTTTTTCGATAATTTTAGGTTGATAGCGAAAACTAATTATGGTTTCTTTTAAAATAAAATCTAAAAATAAAAAACTTCTTTTATCTCTAGTAATAAACCAACTATGTGAATATACATAATATCGTCACCTAAAACGCAAACGGCCCTATCTAACATTTTTAAAATTTTACATTTTTAAACGTTTACATAAAAATACATCCATGATATAATGCGACTTGCTTGTTTTTTGAATCATTTCAAAAAATGAAGAGAGCCATATGACTGTTAAATTTTCCATCAGTATTTTCTCTCAATGTGTGATGGTTTCATTACATATTGCGTTTAGACGATCCCATCCGTTCTCTTCTACACAAAATGTAGACAGACCATATTACTTGTGTGCTCGTGTGAAGAGGATGCGACAGATGGAGGAACTAACATCGTGAGATGTTACATCAATTAAATAATATTAAAGCTCAATAAAATATATCGAAGTCTGATTTATAGTTCAGAAGAAATTCTTCGGCTTCAAATTTTGGAGTAGCAGGCCGAACTGGCAAAAAAATACTTCGATACATAGGTACATTTTTCAAAAGGAGATGAAAATTTCAATTTAAAATCAAAACATACGTCTCAAAAAAATTTTGTTCCAACGAGATAGAAGTCGTTGTTCTTATTCCTGACATGGAAAGTGAGATCATAAAAGAGGACATCATTTTGGAGGAAGTCTAATAATTTTTAGGGAAAAATTACCAGCAAATGTCTGATGATTGTCCATCAAACTGCAAATCTGTGGAATACAAAAATAAAAATATTTAGGTATATTTATAAACATTTGATATATTGCCAATTTCATGTCAAGTGACCCAACTCAAAAAATCGATTTGAATAAAATTTGCATCATGGTTTTTATTTAAATAAGTATTTAAAACCAAATTTACAGAAGAAGTCCCGTTAATTTTATTTTATTTATTTGAAATAAATTGTGTTGCTAAATTAATAAACCTGAATAATTTGAATAAGTTCTAATTTAAAGTGCGTTATATTTTTGGCAGTACTTTAGATTTGATAAATTTGTATTATACTAAACGTCATGATCAAAAAGTAGCAGGTATAGTCGGCATTTATTAGTGTTGTAGCAATGTTATGACAAAATTGTCAGGACAATTATTATTGATAACAAAAGTAATTTGTATAGAATTTTGTTTAAATTAATTGTTAATATAAGTTATATTGAAATTAGTGTTTATTTACAAAATTTGCATTTGATTTTAATAAAAATAAACTAAAAACTCAAATCCTATAAAACCCTAATTGCAATACAAGTAATTTATAAAAACTGCATGAAATATTTTTTGAAATTAACAGCAGATTAATATTATTCTTTAGTATTTCTGTATATATTGTGAGTGTTCGCTTTTATTTTGAATAATATTTGGAATACTCTAATCATAAGATTTGTTGGAATTTATTTTATTACCTTGGTTTTCATACATACTTTTGATGATAGAACCAGGAGAATATTCGTCGTGAAACATTGAAAAAATTATAATTTTCCATTGGAAAATGAACACAAAAATACGCGTGAATCACAGACAGCATTGCACACTGAATTTTAAAATATAATTTTTACATAATAATATTTGATTTTTATCAGATGACGACTTGTTACATGTGTTTTATAATTTACATTCATACATACACATACACATAAGACGCAATACTATTGAATATTAATGAATTAAATATCAAAAATTATAATAATTAAAAAAAAACTTTGGTTTGAAATTATTTTTCCATTTGTATTTAAAGTCAATACTTATTCAAATCCTTTAAAAACCGTACAGAAAATTACTTTGGAGGAAATAAATCTAATTCCAGTTGAATATTCGCATAGTTATTTTCCATATTTCCCAGGCATCTGGTTATGCCTGATCGTCTCTCTGTTGCTATATTTTTTGTACGTAAAATTTTTCATTATACAAGTTTTTATTCGAAGTTTCGTCCACTGAATACAATTTTCCAAAAATAATGTTGTACAAAATACTTGCAAATCCGAAGGCATACTTTACTGATTTGGTTCCACACTTAATAGTTTCAATAAATATTGTAAAAAATTTAGTACGTCGGTAGATAAATCGAAAAATGTCTTAAAGGGTCCTTAGAACGTTTTGTGCCGTTATGGCAGTCATTCACTATTCAAAGGACACTATTAATTGGTATGACACAAACAATATAATTTATTTTTTATATAATTTTTCAATTTAACAAATGCTTTGTAGCTCCGACCAATGGAAAGGTACTGAGTGTTGATACGCTTTAAAATATGAGTAAAAAGTGATCAAAATTTTGATTTTTTTGTAAAGGGCGATATTTTGCGAATTACTTTTTCTCAAGTTGCTCTTTTAATTTTAATGAATGATTAGGATGGATTTATTGCACCTGAATCCACGTGTTGTAACAAAAAATGTTGTCTCCTTTTTTTCGCAAAAGTGTTTTTAAAATAATACATTTTTTTGTTACATATTTAAAGTAAAATTTTCAATTGTGGACAAAATTGACAAAAACAACAACAAATAAAACAAATAAAATTTACTAAAGGATGTCTGCATGTATATAAGTTATTACTTTGTATTTGTTTTTCTATTCATTGATGTTTCACAGCAAATATACCACCAAAAATCTGGAAGTATGTCTGACAATTTTCGTTGTATCTTCTTCATTTTTATACCCACCATCAAAAAAGATGGGGGGTATATTGCTTTTGTCATTCCGTTTGTAACGCATCGAAATATTCATCTAAAACCCATAAAAGTATATATATTCTGGATCCTTATTAAATTCTAAGACGATCTAGTCATGTCCGCCCGTCTGTCTGTTGAAAACACGATAGAGTCCAAACGGAGGTAGCTAGCGGGCTGAAATTTTGCATAGACATTTTATATTGATGCAGTTTGTTTGGTATTGAAAATGGGCAGTATGTATTCAGAAAATTACTTTAACACTCATAACTGACTAAAAGAAGCAGCTATAGTCATGAAATATATATTGATGCAGTTTGTTTGGTATTGAAAATGGGCAGTAGAGTGGGTCGGTCTCTATGGACAAAAAAAAGTTGTGTCAGTCACCCCCTAGGATTAAAGATATGTTAATAATAACATTTCCAAAAATATAAAAAATATTTTTTTGCCACGCCTAGAAATACCGCCCTTTTTGTTTTTTATATATTACGCCGCCATTTTAAGTCCGATTGTAACATGTCATATATCAATATTTATGGCTTCACTGTACCTATATTTCACTCTTAGAAAATTTTTTAATTCGACGTCATTTTCTATGCGCGACTTCTGATATATCGGATCCTTCCCAAAATCTAAAATTGTGGCTATACTGGAATAAAGTACATTGAATTATATGAACTATTAGCCTTTAAAATGCTCACTTTCATGCATAAACACCTATTTTATAGATATTTAAAAATTTTCAAGCATTTATTAACCGTTCTCACAACAAACAATTTATTTGCCAGTAAACACATAGTTAACATAGTTAACTTTCTTCTATTTTGAAAGGAAGTAGGATTTGAAATGGTTTGTAACTGAAAAAATAAAAAAGATTTCTGTTGTATATAGTTCATTAAAAAAAAAATGTTTCGACTGTTTTTCCTGGCAAATAAATTGTTTGTTGTGAGAACGGTTAATAAATGATTGAAAATTTTTAAATATCTATAAAATAGGTGTTTATGCATAAAAGTGAGTATTTTAAAAGCTAATAGCTCATATAATTGAATATACTTT